ATGTGGAACAGGAGAGTTGGGGAGAAGACTCAGTGCTCATGAAACAAAGAACCTGGACCTTGGAAAAGGGGTATCTCAATGAGATTCTTAGGGGCCAAGTGTGAGAGTTTGAGGGGTCTTCACCCCCACATCAAATCCTAAAATACTGATTGGAAGCTGGGCACGGCAGCAAATGCTCACTACCTGGGAGGCTGAGGGGTAGCGTGACTTGAGTCCAGGAGCTCAAGGCCAGATTGGACAATATATCAAGATTCCGTCTTCAAAACAGAAACAGAAACAGAAAACATTCTGGAACCATTCTGTGCAATTCTCCCATCCTTCATTTGAAGTAAAGTCCTAGTCAAGATCACAAGCAAAGTGACTCTGAGGAAAAACCCCGATGAGCTAAGGATACATACTAAATAGGCGGTATAAACAGGCTGAGAGTGGAGACTAGTACCCAGATAGCCTTGCACACATGGGCCATGATGGCTCTTACACATGCCATCTCATACATGCACAAGACCCTGGGGAGTCCTTGGACAGAGGTTTGTATTTTTTTTATAGAAATGGTCTCATTATCAGAGGTTCATTTTTGTTCTTGCAAAACAGATTTGAGAAACAAAAGCAATTCCAGGGCCTTGGGCCTACATTCCTCAAATGTAGGTGAGAGGAGCTAAGGAGGCACCAGCAGGCCCAGGGTCAGCCCAGCCTGATATTGGGCACTATCCCTGAGACTGGGGCCAAGCCTGGGGCTAAGCCAGGACTAGGAAGCAGCCTTCTGGTGGTTAGGCTACCCCTAGTCATAAAAGGCCATCTTTAGGAAGGACTATTTTTCTTATCAGAAGTTTCTAAATTATTCTTCTTTGTTACCAGAGAGGCCTTGCGCCTACTTGGGGGACTCTTTCCACCTAACTAATCCGTACAAACACTTCCCCCAGCAAGCTGCACCCCAGCCTCAAGGCTCTATAAGGGCAGGCAGGCCCTGGTTTAGTGGCATGGACCTCGGACTGTGGACTGGACCATTCCCTCCCTTTTACTGTTTGTTTTCACTCCTCTGACCTTAGGCTGGCTGGTGAGGAAGGTAGAGGGGAGGAGACGGAGACACACACACACACACACACACACACACACACACACACACACACGCACGCGCGCACGCACTACACAGACACAGACACACACCACAGCACACCTTCTGTGCCCCCCAGGCTGGTCAATGATTGACTGGCATTTCACAGGCCACTGATTTCAGACCCCAGCTTGGTGACCCTTAGAGGTCACCTCCATCTTCCAGAGCCCCATTCCTGCCTCTTCAGTGTCACTGGTCTCCATAGTCTCTTCTGTTACCCAGGACCTTCTCAGGTGAATCTTGGGCACCTCACCCTCTGACTCTGAGTGTGTGGCCCCTGTCCTGCAGTCACCCCTTCTTCTGCCTGTCTCTGTCTTCACAGACCCCTCACTGGGCTCTTCTCACAAACACTCGCCCCCCTTCTCACAAACACTGTGCCCCCCTTCTTCCCCAGGCTCCCCCCTCAGTCTTTGTCCCCAGGCATCCTCTTTCCTTGGCTTTTCTGCAGGCCCTGCTAGAGCGGCAGTTAAGCAGCAAGTCAATTGAATCAGCAGTGCCCACCCAGCCCCCCTTCTCTTCTTGTCAAACACCAGACAAGGTTTTTTCCTTTTCCTTCCAGTCTCTGAATGCACTCTTTCTCTTTGGGAGGCTCAGCCCTCCGGAGCCTCCTCCCCAGGGCGTGAGTTCTGACCCCAGCTCCTCCCCCATGCCTCTTCCTACCGACTCAGCACCAGGCTCCACCCTCCCTGCAGCTCACTAGGGCAGAACATTGTCTGCAGTACCCGGCTTCTTCCAGGGGTCTGGGATGCCCAGAGGGTGGGTTTGCCTGCCTGGCAAGGAGTGAGGGAAAGAGGAAGAGGTGTTTTTGTAGATGGAGGGACCCTGGTAGCTTCTTGGAGGAGCCATCTATGCTCTCCCCATAGTGGTCTAGGGAGAGGGTAGGCTCACAGGTCCCTTGCTTAAAGATAACGATCATGGCCTGGTTCCCAGCTCAGTTCTGTGGCCTTGGAAAGTTGCTTTACGTTTTGGAATCTTAAGGCATCTCACAAAATGAAGAATGATGGTATAGTACCAGCCTCCTGGAACCCCCAAAGACCACTGAGAGGAGGAATTCAGCTGCAGAGTGGTGAAGAGTAGGGATCCAACAAATGAGGCCAATCTCAGCAGTTCTCAAGGTTGAACTACTGCAAGAGGGTGGGGTGGGTGGATGGGCTTTGGGAAAAGGGACACTTCTCATCTGACCTTGATGGTGTCTCCAAGGGCACATGCCCACTTGCCCAGGTACAAGCATGCCAGTGTATGACCAGCAAGTGACTCTCAGAGCCAGGTCAGTATGTAGTCTCCCAGAAGAGCTGAGAAGTTGAAGGTCTGAGGGACAATAGATTAGGTCCTGGGGCTGAAGAGATGGCTCAGCAGTTAAGAGCACTGGCTGCTCTTACAGAGGACCTGGCTTGATTCCCAGCATCCACATGGCAGCTAACAACTCTAGTTCCAGGAGAATCCAGCTTTCTTCTGACCTCCATGGGCATTGCACAACACAGGTGCACTTACACACATGCAGGCAGTACACTCATACACATTAAAAAAAAAAAAAAATTAGGTCTTGGGCTGGATGATGGGGCCAGGGAATGGTCCTGGTTTTGTTAATGGTTCGGTTGTTCCTATTGCCCTAAGATGTCCTGGGCAAATTTCTTATCTCTTTGACCTTCAATTTCCCTAATCCTCAAATATATTTATTTTGTTATTAAATCTTTTTGAGACAGGGTCTCCCTGTAGCCCCAGCTGACCTGGAACTCACTATGTAGACCAGGCTGGCCTCGAACTCACAAAGATACACCTGCCTCTGCCTCCCAAGTGCTGGGATTAAAGGCATGTGCCACCACGCCTGGCAGAACAATTTTTTTTAAGACTAGGACTTGCTATATAGTCCAGGCTGGCCTCAAACTCCCAGCTCGGCTTTCCAAGTGCTGAGATTAGAGGCATGAGCCCTTATGCCCAGCTGAATAGGGGTGGCTATCCTGAGGGTCTGCTAATGTCACACACAGTATATGGCAGTAATTCTTGAACATTCCTGACAGTGATCCAAGAAATAAATCTATTTTACATCATCACCAGGACACACATACAAAACTGCGCTTGATTCTTTTTACATGTAATGCTCTTGGGTCTTCTTTGTTGTTATTTTGTTTTTGAGACAGGGTCTCTCTGTAGCATCAGTTGGCCTGGAACTCACTATGTAGAGCAGGCTGACCTCAATCTCAGAGATTTGCCTGCCTCTGCCTCCCAAGGGCTGGGATTAAACATGTGCACCACCAAGTCCTGTTTTTGGTCTCTATTCTGTTTCCCTCCCTCCTTCCCTCCCTCTCTCCTCTCTCTTTAGCAGGGCCTCATGCATGTTAAGCAAGTGCAATATCAGTGAGTCATAGGTCCAGTCTTCTTGTTCTACTGCTTCAAAAGAAACCCCAACACAGTCTGGGTGAGGTGGCAGTGTGCACCTGTAATTCCAGCACTCAGCATTCAGCAGGCAGAGGCAGGAGTCACCACAGGTTTGAAGCCAGCCTAATCTATGTACTGAGTTCTCAGCTAGCCAGGGCTATACAGCAAGACTCTTTCTCAAGCAGAACAGAATCCTTGACGCTGGGTTGCTGGTCTGCATTAGTAAGGAGGGTAAGCATCAGGTCCTTCTTTCACATGTGCCTAATTTAGAATTAATAACTTTGTATTATTCCTCTTAGAGTACCTCAAATTGATTCCCACAAAACTTGAACCTGTCCTAGTATTGCTAAATTTGGGGTGGTTTATTGAGCAATTATTATGTGCCAAGTACTAAGTTGCTGAGTGCTTTCTCCTTTAGCACAGTGTACCAGATGCTATCCTGCAGACGGAGGCCCAGGAATGCTTAGTCACTTGCTCAAGGTCTCACAGCTAGGGTGTGATACAGTCAAGATTTGAACTCAAGTCATCTCAATCCCAGAGCCCCATTCTCAAGCCCCCTACTGTTGAAGTGCCTACCTAGATCTGTGCTTATCAGTGAAAGTAAGTTAAGAAAAACCAGGGCCTTCTATTTTCTCATCCCCAGTAGGTGTCTATGATCACCTTTTGACAGGTGTGTTCTTGGCTGGAACATTCCAACAAGTATTGCCAGATTTAGCAAATAAAAAGTAAGGATGCAAGTTAAATTTGAATTTCAGATAAATAGGTAATTTATTAGTATAAACAAGTCCCCTGCAACATGTTCTTGGTATTTCCAAAGAAAGGATGCTTCCCCTCCCACCCCACCCCCAGGTCCTGGTCACCAGGATTTAGGAATGGGGGGGTGGGTGTGGGCTTCAGGTGTAATCTTAGCAGGCTAATAAGGGGAAAGGGACAGAGGAAAAACGGAATGAACTCAGTACTGAATGTCCCCATAAAGAAATAGGGAGGTTGTTCCAGAATGATAGAAGTCCCTCCAATTTGACTGTCTCCTCCCAGTTTGGTAGGTCCTCCAAAGATCAGACCCGAGGTACCCAAAAAAGATTCGTATTGACTCCCAGAGCGTCTTGGAAATCATCAGTTATACATAAAAGGTAGCCTTCCCTGGCTATTTTACTTGAGGATGTGGTGGCAGACCCATTATTTGATATTAAATGAGTGTGGTGGAGTCAGACGCAAACTTCCCAGGGATGTTCAAGATAAAACCCGAGACTGCAGGGAGAGCTGGGGGATGATGGTCTGGAGAGGTTGCCCAGACTCCAGAGGAGGGCGCGAACCGCCCCCCTCCGCAACCCCACTCTGCTTTTCGGAAATGGGCAAAAACTGCCTACTCGCAACCCCAGCGTCCGGGCGCGGGGAGGGAGCACCCAGGCCTGCGCGAGGAGGGAGAAAGTGAAGCTGGGAGCTGCCACTCCCAGACTTGCTGGAATGCAGTTGGAGGGGTGGGGGGGGGAGGTGGCGAGTCCGGAGCCCGCGGCTCCCAATCACCGGCGGCGGAGGAGTTGGAGGAGGAGGGCTCCTCAAGGAAGTGCTGCACCGAGTTGTGGAGCTGAGATTCCCCGCCGCCGGGACCGAGAGTCCAGCCGAGCCCCGAGGGCCGCCCGGCGCCCCTTCCCCAGCCGCCCCTTCCGGCGCCGCGCCTGGTCCCTGCCCTCGCCGGGCCCCGCGCTATTAGCCCGGTCCAGCCCGAGCCATGGGGCGGGAGCCGCAGTGAGCACCATGGAGCTGGCGGCCTGGTGCCGCTGGGGGCTCGTCCTCGCCCTCCTGCCCCCCGGAGCCGCGGGCACCCAAGGTGGGTCTGGCGTGGGAAGGGCACCGGGCGGCACGGGCCGCTGCCGGTGCGCCTGAGGGCGGCAGGGGCCCCACGAGCTCTCCAGCCCGCGGCGTCTCTGGGACGGGGCGCTCTGGGACGGTCGGGGTTGGGGAGCAGTCACCCCGAGGACCACCCTGGAAGTTGGGACCCGGCTGGCGACCCTGGAGCTTCCCGGGTTCCCAGAAGCTCCGGGAACTGGTCAGGAAAGTTCTCTGAAATTAGCCACAAAGTTCTTCCGAAGGTGTCCGGCGCGGGGTGTGCGTGCGCGTGTTTCCCCCGTTCCAAGCCTCCTCACTGGTCCTCCGAGCTCTTCCAGTTGGCAACCTCCGCCGCCGGGCTGGACCGGGCTGGATGCCTTCGGGGTCCCCTCGGCCCTGCCCCTCCCCCTCCCCGCCCCCTCCGGCCCATTGGGCTTAGTGACTCCAGCTTCCAGCAGGTTCGTCGAGGAGGGGGCGGTGGGGAAAGCAACCTGTCCTGCGGAGCCGGGAGGGCCGGGTGGCCTGTCCGCAGTGGAATTGCCTCTAGATGGGGTTCTGGGGTTATTTGGAGGGGGGAGGGGCAGGCATTTGTTTTGAACAAATTTTTCTTTCTTTTCTGCTTTGGGAATGGAACCCCGGCTTCGCGCGTGCCAGGCAAGCGCTCTACCATTGGGCTACACACCCTCAGTTCTGTTTTGAACGCATTTCCTTGGGACCAGCCTAGGAACTGTGTGCTTTGGAGACTTTGGGAGAGTTCAGACCCTGGAGGGTGGTCGCGTGTGTTTCCCGGCTTGTAAAGTGGGAGGGGTTCCTGGGCTTTTGAGGAGAGAGCAGCTAAAAGAAGTAAGGCCAGCTAGGGTAAGATGGAGGCTGGGTTGTTATGTTGCCTCTTCTTCGTGGTGGGGGCAGGGAGGGTGTATCCTGACCCATCTGCCCATCTCTACCCTAAGCATAAAAGCTGACATACACCCTGTGAGGGTCTGCTCTCCCTGGCTCCTTGGGTGGTGGTCTGCATGCTCTCCTTCAGTCCTAAGAACAACTCCTTAGAAATCCTAGTGGTTTTCCCTTTTTCCCAGGCTGAAAACCTGGGCTGGAAGAGGTTAAGAATCAGCCCCTAAGCGCTGTACCCATAAGTGGTGTACTCCAGGCCATGTGATCACACATTAGAAATCACAGTATGAACTACCTGGAACAATGGGAACACTGCTCCCTGAATCACTGGGTTGTGGGGAGAGAGAGAGCAGGTTCTGGGAGCAGTGGATGGTCTCTAGAGACCAGGGAGTGTGGCGAGGGGCTGGCGGGGTCGGGGATCATCATCTGTGTATCCCCCAGGGGCTGTGCCAGTACACTGCTGTGCGTTCTGTAGGGTGTCCATATATGTCTGTGATGGTTGTATGTTTGTGTGTCTGGGCTTTGTGTTGCCAAACAGTAATCTCTCTGCTGACTTAGGGACACAGGCTGAACTCTGCCCTCTCCAGGAACTCCCTCAAGGTGCTGGGCTAGATCTGTTGTAAACAGCAGGAGGTGGCCCTCTGTTTCTTAGGCAGGCATCCTCACCTCTGACCTTCTGGTGAGAAGAGTGAGGTCAGGCTGGGCTGTGCTATCCTTACCTTGAGCTGGGAATGGAGTTGGCCTTGTGCTGTAGCGCTAGGATCTGAGGAGTGGGCTCTCCAGATTGGGGAGGGGAGGACTACTGAGTCCCTCAACATGTACTGCTTAGTGCAGAGGGATGAGACAGTTTGTCATGCCTGGAATGGTTGAAAAGGCAGTGAGTGTACCATCCAGCTGCCTCCAGCGCCAGATTAAATCGCAGAACTGGGGCCTGGAGCAGGTATGTGGAGGAGAAAAGCCTGGGGGAAGGCCCAGAGAGTCAAGATGTTGCTGGATCCTTTCAGAGTTTTTGTAAATTGCAGTGAACTCAGCCCTGTAATCTTGCAGAGCACATTCATATTTCAGTTCTAGTAAGATTCTTCCCCCAACCTTCCTTCTTTTTTGCTATACTTAGAAAAAATACTCATTTTAATATTCAAGAAAAAAAACCAAACCCAATTGACTAAGAGAGGGTCAGGGTTGGGAACATAGTGATAAAGTGGTAGAGTGCTATGTTATGTATGCATAAGGCCCTAGGTTCAATTCCCAGCAAAAGAAGAGGATCAAATATAAATAGAAAAAAAAAATACATTGCATTCCAAAGTCAAATGGAAAGACTTTATCTTTTCTCCTGGTTTGGAATTACTGGGATCCTGCTATCTCCTCTCCTCTTTTAGCCTTTTGAAAAATGTACAATACGCTTCCTTCCGTAGCATATTCCTTTCTGGAGATGGCTTCGTTTCCTCTTTGCACCTTCCTGGGTATTAGGTGCACAGATGAGAAAACAGAAGCTTGGAGGAATGAAGAGACTTATCAGGAGGCATTAAGGGTCCATAAAAGTGTTATTCATTCAACCAGAATGGGTTAGAAACCTTGGGGCAGCCACAGGAGAGAAGAGGCACTAGTCTGTTACATAGGGCATGGCCCTCCCATCCCCTTTCCCAGACTGAAGAGGGTGGACAGGCCTGGGGGCCTGTGGATCCTTCTTGGCTGCAGGCTCCCCTCCTGTCCAGCCCATGCCTGCCTTCCCTCCTGGACCCTCCCATCTTGTCCAGGGATGGAGGGCAGGAAGGTTCAGAGACCACTGGAACACAGGTCTGTGGCTGGGGAGCTACTGAAGTAGAAACACAAGGGGCCAGTGTAGGCTAGGCTGGGAGGCAGGGGAGGGCCTAGGGTAGATGTGCTTCCTCTTGGATGATGGAATGATCTGAAAGGAGAACCACTTCCCTGCCCCCCACTTATAGGATGCTCCTCTGTAGTGACAGTGCTGTTTGCTAGGCCACCAGGCAGGGGATATGCAGGGGACCTGCATTCTCTGGAGGAGTGGGAGAATACTTAGAGCTAATGTTTGGGTTGCTACAGGTCTGTTTACAAAGCCTCCTCATGTTTACAGACTGCTTCTCCCTTCCTCTTGCCTTTAACTCTCCAGGACATCTGGAAGGAATAAGAGTTATTACCACCAAGTTTAGGTCAGTAAATATTCACTCTGTGTGTGTGTGTGTGTGTGTGTGTGTGTGTGTGACTAAGTCATAGCTCTTGTTGAGCATAGAGTTGAGTCTGATTTAGCTTCTGTCCTGGAGGTCTGGGCAAATGTTCTTGGTTATACAGGAGTAGCTGAGCTAGGGTTCTTGACTAAAAACCCCGAGCCCAGGCCCTCCTCTGACACTAGCTTTATATGCCAGTTGTGTGTAGCTCGGGAGTGCTGGGGTCACTTGAGTGGCCTCTGGCCCCTGGCCTGGGTCTGGGGAGAAGTGAGCTTTGGGAATACAGGTACTTTGCTGGCAGTGTTCATGGAGACCAAAGAAAATGTTGGCTTTCATGCCATGAGCAAAAGAGCAGCTTGTGGGGTAGGGGTGTGACTCAGTGGGAGAGCATTTGCCCATGCAACAAGGACCATGCACTAGGACCTGGGTTCCATCCTCAGCAGTGAAGATAGGTAGGTAGATAGATAGGTGATAGATAGATAGATAGATAGATAGATAGATAGATAGATAGATAGATAGATAGATAGATAGATAGATAGATAGATAGATAGATAGATAGATAGATAGATAAAGAGAGACAGCTTGGGCTGAAGACCCATGGAAGACAAGAACCCATTTGAGAAGCCCTAGGGCCGGGGCTAAACTTTGACCACCAGTGTTCAGCAGGAGGGACCCGAAGGACTGTGACTGGCCATGAGCAGAGGGATGGATACTAGTCCCTTTCAGTTTGGAATGACTAAAGTTCATTCATTCATTCATTCATTCATCCATTCAGCAGACACTGGCCCATCACTCACTATGGGCCCTGCCCTTGCTCTGGGCTGGTCCTGCTTCATACTGCCTTTGTCTCTGAGAGCTGGAAGATGGGGCTCTTGAAGGGCACCTGTCCTGGAGGCAAAGAGCATCCTTGTATAGAGTTAGAGCTTTCTGCCCCCTCCAGAAATTCATGAGACCTGGTGGCTCTGAGGACTGTGGTAAGGTCTGATAGGGAGAGCCTGATAAAGAGAGAGGAGTGGGAGGGTGGTAGAGGCTTGGAAGGTGTCCAGAGGCCTTCTGGCCTCTTGTTAGCATGGTGTGTGTAGGGTCAGCTGGCAGTCCTCAGCTCCCTGGGTACCAATTTTACCACCTGTCTACAAACACTTTAAGAGTCTTACTCAGATCGGCCACAAATCAGATAAACAAACTCACTGGTGAGGTGTGGCTTGCCACTCTTTCTGACCTCCTGCCTTACCCAGCCACCTTGCCCTACCTGGACCTGTGTGTTTATTGGTGACACCAGAGAATTAGTATGCATTTACGTTTGTGAGGGGTGTGGCTTGTTATTTGTGTGTGTAGTGAAGCTTAATGGAAGGAGCATGGATCTAAGGCAGACTGGAGTCCAAATTGTGCCTCTATGGCTCTATTGCTTGTTTGAGGTTTTTTTGTCTTGTGGTGCTAGGGTTGGAACTCAGGACTTGCATGTGCTATGTAAGCAGTTTACCACCAAGCCTACTTGGCAATCTTGGAAGGCTCAGTTTCCTTCTTTGTAAAATAGAGGCAGTAGCCTCAGTCTCTGAAGGATTAAAGGGTCTATAGTAGGTACTCAGCTGGGTTACCATGGCAGTAGCTATTGTTGTTTTCCTTTTGCCTTGGAGGTGACAGAGGGCTGCAGGGAGTAGACAGCCACAGGGGGTGGGCCCCTGCCCCAACCCTGCCATCCCTGTCTCCAGCGTGGCCAGGTCTGGGGTCTGGGCCTGGAGACAGCTGTGTCTATAAGCAGCTGAAGCTGGGATGCTGGGGGAGGTCCTGGCAGCGGGGTGTTATTTTGGGCCTAGCCTGCCACCCCCAGCTCCTGTTTCTCTTGGGAGCCTGTGGGGAGGGGCTGAACTAAAGGAGGGGGGATGCTAGTAGGTGTGACCTGGGGTGGGGAGGCCTGGCTGTTTTTCTTTTCCATCCAGGGGCTGGGCCTTTGCATTCTCTCTCTGGCCCATTCCTCCCTCTGTACTTCCTTCCCTATCTGTCTAGAGGGTGGGAAGAGACCTCTCTGCAAGTCAGTAGGATGCCATAAGTTTGTGGCCATTGGCAGACAGACTGGGAGACCAGGAACTTGCTCCCCATCCTTCCACAGATGGCAGGAGGCAGGAAGATAGCTAGGATTTTGACCTTAAGCTCCAAGTAGCTGCTGCGACAGCAGGCTCCTGGAGCCAGATCTCAAAGATAGTCATTGTATTGGCCCTTGAATCTGCAACTGCCTCTGGCAAGTAGAACAGTGACTGACAGGCATTCCTGGTAGCTCAGGCACCTATAGGCCTGTATATCTGAGAACACCCTCTACCCGCCTTCCCCCAACCTCCTGGGCAAGCCACATAAGGTGATTCATCTTCTCACCCGAGCAGAAAAACAAGTTCAACAGGGCACTTTAATCTCCCCCCTGCTGGTAGGCTTGGTGCCAGCTGCTGCCCAGAGACCCCTTGACAAGGCAGCTTTCCTTACGTGGGGGCCCAGTGGGAGCACCTGGTCCTCAGCACACCAGCTTGAGGGTCACATAGGCAAGGGCTGGCAGTATATTTTGGAAGCCCTTCCTTGATAGTTGCTCTGGGCAGGTACACAGGGCTGACGTAGTGCTTTTGTGGCCGGAGTTTCGTGGCATTGCTTCTGCCAGCTGGTTCTGGAGTCTTGCCCCAGGAGGTGGTGAGGGTGAGAGAGCCTGTGTAGGAACCTGCAGAGCCTCACCCCGCCCGGGATCTGCAGCTAGGTCCCCTAGCTAGTGTCCCAGCTTTTTCTTCTGTGTGTGGGAGAGTTCCAGGGAGCTCTGCACTGATGACCAGGCCCCCGGCTGCCCCTCTGTCCCAGCAATGACTCCAGTTGACCCTCCTTGCCTCCATTTTGGGTGGCACTGTAGGAATGGGCGTCCTGAACCTGGAGGTTGACATGTGGGTGTATTGGAATGGCACAAGGAGAATGCCCTGAGTTTGTTTGCATGGGAGGGGGGTATCCAGAGGGGTCTGATTCATCATCGCCTCTCTTCGGGGCTTTTTACCCTCGGTTGTGGGTTGTGTATTTGGGACAAAAGGAGGCTTTCTTTGCCAGCTGAAACCCTGTATGAGTGGTAAGCCCCAAAGGGCTGACACACTGGGGCCTCTCTGGATGTTCAAGGTAGGCCAGCTCCAAGGGGCCTTTTCCTGGGTTTCCTCCAGACACCAGAACTTTTTTCTGCTGTAGACCCTGCAGGTGCAGAGGCGTGGGAGGAAGGGCTGTCAGCCAGGCTTTCTCCCTGTCTTGAGATGACAAGACCCCGGGGAGTGGGTGTGGAGGATTAGAGAAGGTCAGGGGCAGTGTCTTGACCCACCTTCTCCCTTCCACCAGTGTGTACGGGCACAGACATGAAGTTGCGGCTCCCTGCGAGTCCTGAGACTCACCTGGACATGCTCCGCTACCTCTACCAGGGCTGTCAGGTGGTGCAGGGTAACCTGGAACTTACCTACCTGCCAGCCAATACCAGCCTCTCCTTCCTGCAGGTGAGACCCGTGGGCAGGGCAGCAGGCTCATCTGGTGGGGCTGAGCCCTCTGCTTAGATGTATAGGAGGAAGAGGGCTCCCCTTCCTCTCTTATGATTCCTCAACCAAGAATAGCTTTCTGTTGCCTGCTTAAAGTTAACTCAGGGCTGGTGGTGCTCACCTTTAATCCCAGCACTAGGGAGGCAGAGGCAGGTGTATCTCTGTGAATTCAAGGCCAGTCTGGCCTACATAGTGAGTTCCAGACCAGCCAGGGCTACACAGTGAGACACTGTCTTTTAAAAAAAAAAAAAATCAGTTGAGGAACTGGAGAGATGTCTCAGCAATTAAGTGCACTGGCTGTTCTTGCAGAGGACTCAGTTTCAGTTCCTAGCACCCACATGGTTACTAACAACCATCAATAAGTCCAGTTCCAGGAGACCTGATGCCCTCTTTTGACCTCCATGGGCATTGCATGCATGGGTGCACTTACATACATGCAGGCAAAGCACTTATACACATAAAATAAAAGTAAATAAGTAAATAAAAAAAAATTAGTTGACTCTCTGCAGTGTGGCTGGCTGTGGGCATCTCTGGGTGGGATGCTGTCTTGCCAGCACAGTCCAACCTCCCCATCACTATTCTTCTAGGTATAAGTTCTAGGTCCACCTCTGGCACTGACTAGCCATGTGAATGTGGTCTAGACCTTTAGCTTCTCTGGGCCTCAGTTTCCCTATCTGTATATTGAGACCAGCAGGCATCATAGCCAACCCATTGTGAAGGTTGAAAAAGAAAATATGTGTGGAAAAGTTATGCTCAGGAGAGAAAGGAGACCAGCCTGCTGGGCTGTGTCCATAGGCCCTGGTGTGGGATTTCAAGGGCCTAGCATGGTCTGTCAGATCACAGATGCCAACTTGTCCATACTTTCCCTTTGAGAGATGAAGAACCTGAAATGTGGGGCCAGAGAAATGGCTCAGAGGTTAACCCCAGCACAGGCTGTAACCAGGTTGTCTGGGTTTGGTTCCCAGCACTCACATGGTGGCTAACAACATTATCTGTAGCTCTAGTTTCAGGGGCTCCGACACTCTGTCCTGGCCTTCTGGCCTTCACAGGCATTGAGTGACACAGATGCACTTACATACATGTAGACAAAACACTTATACACATAAACTTAATTTAAAAAGAAAAGAAGCCGGGCGTGGTGGCGCACGCCTTTAATCCCAGCACTTGGGAGGCGGGGGCAGGCGGATCTCTGTGAGTTCAAGGCCAGCCTGGTCTACATAGTGAGTTCCAGGACAGCTGGGGCTATAGGGAGACCCTGTCTCAAAAAGACAAAAAAAAGAAAGAAAAGAAAAGAAACTAAGATGTACAGAGGGTGGGGCAAAGTACTTCCTCTCAACTGCCAAAGTACTTCCCTAACTCTCAGCATTCCTGATCAGACAAGAATCTAGTGAGGCCAGGTAGGGAGTGGCCTGAAGCCCCATCTTGGGCCTGAGGGAGCAAGACTGCTTGGGGGAGGGGGAGGAGGACTTTGCCCAAGATGGCCCCAATACTGGGTCACCGTGAGGCCTTGTAGGGTGGGAGTGTTGCTCAGGCCGAGGCCTGTCTCACTTCCCGTCCCCTGCCCTTCCTTTTAGGACATCCAGGAGGTTCAGGGATACCTGCTCATCGCTCACAACCACGTGAGGCAGGTCCCACTGCAGAGGCTGCGCATTGTGCGAGGGACCCAGCTCTTTGAGGACAACTATGCCCTGGCCGTATTAGACAACGGAGACCCTCTGGACAATGTCACCCCTGCCCCAGGAGGGTTGCGGGAGCTGCAGCTTCGAAGCCTCACAGGTGCCTTCGCCATATTGCAAGCTTCTCTTGGTTATTGATTACTGACTAGGGCTATGGTAGACTGTGGGGAGGCTCTGTGGGGATTAGAAGTGGGGTTCTCTCTGGCTTCATGCATGTAGGCAGAGCTTCCTTCTCTTACCCCCATGAAGATTAGAAAATAAAAAAAGGCTGTGGCTGAGGCTCAGTGGTAGAATGCTTGCCTAGCATGTGCAAGGCCAGGACTGCAAAAAGGACAAACGTTTCCCTTCTTTTGAGGAAGCTGCTAGGAGGTCCGTAATTGACTCATAAGAGTCCAGGCTGTGTTTTCTTTTTTCCTCCATCTTGACTGAGTACAAGTCAACAACCTATAGATCTGCAGGCCGCAACCCTGAACTGACAGTGTTACAGCCTGGGTGCCAGGCGCTTTGCATGCTGGGTCCCATTTCAGTCATGCTACAATCCTGTAAGTCCCGCTAGTAACTCTTCAGTGGATCTATTATTATTTTTTCTGCTTTCTCTTCTTTTGAAATGCGATCTCATTGTGTAGTTCAGGCTGACCTTGATCCTGCAGCAATCCCCCTTCCTCAGCCTCCTGAGTGCTGGGATCCCAGGCAAGCTCCACCAGCCCTCCTCAGTGTTCTTCTCACTTTACAGATGAGAAAACCGAGGCATGCAGAGGACCAGTGACTTGCTCAAGGTTACACAGCCAGTAGGTGGTAAAGCAGGACTTCAGCCTTGAGAGACATTTTTGTTGTTCTTGTGCTGGGACTCGAACTCAAGACCTAGTGCATGCTGAGTGCTTGCTCTGTCTATCACTGAGCTATACCCAGCCTCAGAGCCTCTCTGTTAACCCCCATACAGTGTGCACACCTGACCCTGCCAGTCCAATTCTCTCTTCTTCGGTGCCCCCTGGCATTGGCTGGGTTGGAAAATGCTGCTCACTGGGGAAGGCAGGACACCCTAAGGGAGGTCAGGAGGTAGCTGATTATTTTGCCTACCCCACAGAGATCCTGAAGGGAGGAGTTTTGATCCGTGGGAACCCTCAGCTCTGCTTCCAGGACAGAATTTTGTGGAAGGACATCTTCCGGAAGAGCAACCAACTGGCTCCAATGGATATAGACAGCAATAGCTCACGAGCCTGTAAGCCATGACCCACCCAGCCCACAGCCCCTCTGACAGCCCACCTGACCCCAGATTCCTGACATACTGCCTCACTCAGCCGCCTGCCCTACCCATTCACTGTCTCAGTCCTTGCTGCTCTCTCAGTGTCCTCTCTGCCTGTGGGTGGGGCCTCCACCTATAGAGGTCTTGACCTGATGGGTTTCCCCCTCCATGTACCTGCCTTTGGACTCTGTTGGCATGTTCCTTTCTTCTCATTGCCTACCATCCCTACCTTCCCCCTCCCACTGTCCCCCTCCACTGTCTCCCCCCTCACTGCCTTCCTCTGTCCTACCTCCCCTCCCACTGTCCCTCCTTACTGCCTCCCCCTCACTGCCTCCCCTCCTGCTGTCCCCCTCACTGCCTTGCCTCTCATGCCTCCCTCTCACTGTCCCCCCCATTACTGCCCCGCTCTCACTGCCCACCCCCTTATCCACTCCCTCTGCTTTTGTCCTCAGGCCCGCCCTGTGCCCCAGCCTGTAAAGACAATTATTGTTGGGGGGAGAGTTCCGAGGACTGTCAAATCTGTGAGTCTGAGGGAGCCCCAGTGTTAATGGAGGGGGTGGAGGGTGGGGCAGCTGATGATGTGGGGGTTAACTGGCCTGGGGTGACTTCTCTGGGATAGAACAGCTCCCAGAAAGTGATGCTGGTGAGGGTCTGGTGCTCAGGCCCCACCCAGCCCTCATCTTACTCTTTCCCCAACAGTGACTGGCATCATCTGTACCAGTGGTTGTGCCCGTTGCAAGGGCCGGCTGCCCACGGACTGCTGCCATGAGCAGTGTGCTGCTGGCTGCACGGGTCCCAAGCATTCTGACTGCCTGGTATGTTCCTCTCCCTCCTGCCTCCCCCCCGCCCCCGTATGTTCCTTTCTCTCCTCACCCTTCAGGGTGTAAGGGATGGGTATCTTGCCTGGCACTGCCAGATAAAACATCCCAGTGACCACCAGCAGCTTGTCTCTCCCAGGCCTGCCTCCACTTCAATCATAGTGGCATCTGTGAGCTGCACTGCCCAGCCCTTGTCACCTATAACACGGACACTTTCGAGTCCATGCCCAACCCTGAGGGCCGTTACACCTTTGGTGCCAGCTGTGTGACCACCTGTCCCTGTAAGTGCTGGGGAGAAAAGCATTGTTTTAATAGGTTGGCTGGGGAGATGGTTTATGTAAACAGGAGCATGTGAGCACTGAGTGTCCCTTGCTTCAGAGGGTTGGTTATGGTGCTCAAGCCCAGCTGTCTTGTTTTTTTTTTTTTTTCTTTTTGAAGCAGGGTCTCCCTGTAGCCCCAGCTCTCCTGGAACTCACTATGTAGACCAGGCTGGCCTTGAACTCACAGAGATCCACCTGCCTCTGCCTCCTGAGTGCTGGCATTAAAGGTGTGCCCTGGCTTGTTCTTTTTTTTAAAGGCAGGGTCTCAAGTAGCTCAGGCTGGCCTTGCCTTGAACTCACAGAGAACCACCTGCCTCTGCCTCCTGAGTGCTGGCATTAAAGGTGTGCCCTGGCTTGTTCTTTTTTTTAAAGGCAGGGTCTCAAGTAGCTCAGGCTGGCCTTGCCTTGAACTCACAGAGAACCACCTGCCTCTGCCTCCTGAGTGCTGGCATTAAAGGTGTGCCCTGTCTTGTTCTTTTTTTTAAAGGCAGGGTCTCAAGTAGCTCAGGCTGGCCTTGCCTTGAACTCATCATGTAGCCATGAATGACACACTGACCTTCTGTTCCTTCTACCTGAGTGCTGGGATCACAGATGTGTGCCTCCACTCCTGGCTTTTTGTCTCATTCTTTTTTTTGGTCTTTTTGAGACAAGGTCTTCCTGTAACCCCAGTTGGCCTAGAACTTGCTATATAGATCAGGCTGGCCTCAGTCTCACAGAGATCTGCCTGCTTCTGCCTCCTAAGTGCTAGGATTAAAGGCGTGCACCACCATGCCCAGCCATCTGTGTAGACATCAGAGACAGGCAGCCAAGAGTTCAGATTTGGGAGTTAGACTGCTGGGTTTGAAATCCATCCCCTACCACGTAATTATTTTATGGCATTCCCCTTGTTGTGCCTCAGTTTTCTCATCTGTAAAATAGGGGCAGTATTGGTCCTAACCAAATAAATTTATTATATTTGAATGAGTTATTAGTCAAACTTTTAGAACAGTGCCTAATATATTATAGTAAATACTCTCAAAGGTTGGTTTTATTCTATAGTCTGCACAGATTAGGGTTTTATGTGACAGCACCCTGTTGCACTAATGGCCCTTTAGGTACTGGGTTTAGACCTGGGGAACCTCTTTCCTCCTTTCTTGTGAGATGAAGCAGATCTTTAGATCCTGGCTGCACTTCCTTGTGGTCGGCCTGAGAGGACAAGGTAGAGAGCCAGACTGTTGGGTTTAAATCCTGGCTCTTAGATTGATGTCGTATGGCATGTCTGTAACTCCAGTACTTGAGAGAAAGAGGTGGGGGATCTGGAGTCCAGTGTCATCTTTAGTTACATAGTGAGTTTGAGGCCAGTCTGGGCTACATGAGACCCTATCTCAAAAAACAAAACCAAAGAAATCCTGGCCATCACTTAGTAGCCCTGTGATGGGGTAATTTGCATAAGTCTGCTTTGGTTTCCCTTTTGGCAAAATGCAAATCTGATGATGCTGATCCTGTAGGAGCATTGTGAGGGAGTAAAGAACATCCTGTGCCTAGACACACAGTGAAGGCATTGAAGTTGGTGGGGTTCTTCTTAGACCTGGGCATGGTGACTCTGTTCACGGTGGGCTGTGAGGCCAGAGTACATGGATTTGCATTCCTGATCTGTGCAGACAACTACCTGTCTACGGAGGTGGGATCCTGCACCCTGGTCTGTCCCCTGAACAACCAAGAGGTGACAGCTGAGGATGGAACACAGCGGTGTGAAAAATGCAGCAAGCCCTGTGCTCGAGGTATCCACCCCACTTCAGGGCCAGCTGTGGTCCCTGGCCCTCTGCATGCATACCCAGGCTAGTCCACTCCACTATACCTCACTATTGCTTGGACCCTCTGGGTTCCTGTCCTTTTAACCCACTGCCTCTGCCCATCCTGGCTCTCTCCAAATCATTTCCTTATCTCCCTGTATCTCTTGCCAGTATAAGGAAGGGACTTGTTACCACAGAAGGGGATGGCAGAGAGGTCCCTGGTGCCCCATATGGTGGTGAGATGGCCTTTTTTTTTTGGGTCTTTTTGAGACAGGGTCTCCCTGTAGCTCCAGCTGTCCTGGAACTCACTATGTAGAACAGGCTGGCCTTGAATTCACAGAGATCCACCTGCCTCTGCCTCCCACGTGCTGGGATTAAAGGCGTGCACCACCATGCCTGGCAAGAGACCTTTTTTACCACCTGCCTCCTTTCCTTCAGTGTGCTATGGTCTGGGCATGGAACACCTGCGGGCAGTGAGGGCCGTGACAAGTGCCAATATCCAGGAGTTTGCGGGCTGCAAGAAGATCTTTGGGAGCCTGGCATTTTTGCAGGAAAGCTTTGATGGGTAAGAGTACACAGTGGCCTGAGGTGGTGTCACAAAGTCCTGAAGACCCAGGGGTAACAGCAATATCTTTAGGGAATCCTTAGGTGGAAGCCAAGACTGTAAAGGAGGCAATGGGAGACCAGAAGGCGCTGGGACATGGATTTGAGGGGTATTTTTCTGAATGATTCATGGACATAGGTGGAGATCAAACCATCTAGATAAAGTAAAGCATTCCTGGGTTCATAGCAGCTTTATTCATCATAGTCTCAAACTGGAAATGACCCAAATGAACATCAGTGGATAAAGAGACAGGCAGTGGTAGATCCATAGAGCACAGTGCTTGCTCAGCAGGCAAAAGCATGTGCTACATACAATGTGAGTGAATCTCAGAAACATGTCGAACTAAAGAAGCCAGAATCAAAACTGGATACAGCTGGAACACCTGTAATCCCAGCATTCAGAAGCAGAGGTGGGAGGACTGAGAGTTCAGGGCCACTCTAGGCTATATAGTAAGACTGTCTCAAAATAACACAAGAAGCCGGAGTCATACAAAGGATCCTGTGGATTCCATACCTCATAGTTTTCTTGTGTGAGGTGCTCAACAGTCAGTTCCATTCTGTGGGGAGAAAAATCAAATCAGTGGTTGTCTGGGGGTGAGGGGGGTGGTCTGGAAGGACCTAGGGGAATTTGGAGGTTGTTTATATATTCACTGTGGATATTTGCGAGTGAATGCATTTCTCAAAAATCATCACACTGTGGTCTAAAAATGTGTGCATTTTGTTGTCTGTAAGTGATATTTCAATGAAAAAGCATACTAAGAAGATAGAAAGTTCCACACTGCTGCTCCCTTCCTAGAGAGGACACTGTTAACAGCTGTGTGTGTTCCTCTGGGCCATTTGTATGGTAGACACATAGAGAAATGGTGTTCATGGTTGGCTAGGGAGGCTAGTTTATGTAAACTGCAGCATCTTGTGAGTCCTGTGCACCCCTTGCTTTCTCAGGGGCTGTTCGTGACAGTTCTTGTTGAGCACCTTATTTTCTTTCATAGCAGTGCTGAGCAGGAGGCAGCAAAAACAGGCGGCTGAGAGCCCTGACTTGGGCTTGATACCTGTCTTTATGACTTAGGTCTCTGTCTCTGTCTCTGACACACATACATACACACACAGAGAGACAGAGAGAGAGAGCAAGAGCACCAGGGATAATCTCAGGTGTTATTCCCCAGGAGCAATCTACCTTTTTTTTCAAGATAGGGTTTCTCGTTGGCCTGGAGCTTGCCAGATAGGCTAGGCTGGCTGGCCAGGGAGCCTCAGGGATCCTCCTGTCTTCACCTCCCCAGCACTGAGATTACAAGTGTACCACCATGCCTGGCTTTTTTATGTGAGTTCTGGGAATTGAACTCAGGACCTCATGCTTATGTGGTAGAGTTGTCCCACCAGCCCTACTTATTAGTCTTGTCTTCTGCTCACTATACCTCAGTTTCCTTGTGTGTAAAATGGAGAGCCATCATAGATCTACCCTCATAAGTTGGTTTTAGAGTCTGAAAGAGTCAACATTTGAGGCATGGTTAGAACAGGGCTTGGCAGTTACTAAGTGCTCCTGATGTTTATATTTGGGGGCTTGCATAGACCAGGGTTTTGTGTATGAGCACCCTTGTTCATTGATGGCTACTTAGGCCATTTTAAAATTTCATTCATATAAACAGTGTCTTTTTAAAAAGTACTTTATTTTAGCTGGGCATGGTGGTGCATGCCTTTAATCCCAGCACTCAGGAGGCAGAGGCAGGCAGATTTCTGTGAGTTCAAGGCCAGTCTGGTCTACATAGTGAGTTCCAGGCCAGCTGGGGGTTACAGGGAAACCCTGTCTCAAAAAGAAGCAAAAAAAAACAAAACAAAAAAAACCCCAACTTATATATATATGTATATATATACATGTGTTTTTGAGACAGGGTTTCCCTGTAGCCCCAGCTAGTCTGGAACTCTCTATGTAGACCAGGCTGGGCTTGAACTCAGAGAGATCTGCCTGCCTCTGCCTTCCATGCTGGGATTAAAGGCATATGCCACCATGTCCGGCTATTATTTTTATTTGTATGAGTATATTTGCATGTAGATAGGTGCACCCGTGTCATACAATGCCTGTGGAGGTCAGAAGAGAGCTGCAGATTCCCTGGAACTGGAGTTACAGATGGTTGTTAGCCCCATGTGGGTGCTGGGAATCAAACCTGGGTCCTCTGCAAGAACAGCCAGTGAGCCATCTCTCCGGTCCACAAACAGTGTCTCTTAGGCCATACTTCTGGAAGTAAGACTTCTAGATCAAAGGAACACAAATACTGTTTTGGTAGATCCTGCCAAACTCAGACCTAGGCTTTGACACTCAGGATTGGGACAGCAAGGCTTAATGGGTAGAGGGTTTAAGTGAAGGCATCAGTGGAAATGGAGAGTGGGGTGGCAGGGCCCTCTGGGGGCTGCCCTCCTACCATCCTTGCCTTGCTGATTCCTCCTGATCCCTCCAGGGACCCTGCCTCGAACACTGCTCCCCTGCAGCCTGAGCAGCTCCGCGTGTTTGAGACGCTGGAGGAGATCACAGGTGGGCCCTATCTGTCTATGTCCTGCTGCTCCACAGGGGCCAGGCATTCTGGCCCTGTCCCCACACTCTAATCTCACCCTCTGCCTGCAGGTTACCTGTACATCTCAGCGTGGCCAGACAGCCTTCCTGACCTCAGTGTCTTCCAGAACCTTCGAGTCATTCGGGGACGCATTCTACATGAGTGAGCATGAGGAAAGGGAGCCTGGGGGGTGTGGTGGATACCCTGCCCCTCAAGGATACCACAGTAGCTTTTCCATGAGTTTACAGAGTGTGTTGAGGAGGAGGAAGGTGAGGTTTCCCCTGACTTCCAGGAAGCAGGTACCCTCTTGCAGCTGAGAACCCTTCTCCCACAGTGGTGCCTATTCGCTAACCCTGCAAGGTCTGGGCATCCGTTGGTTGGGACTGCGCTCGCTTCAGGAGCTGGGCAGTGGGCTGGCCCTCATTCACCGCAACACCCACCTCTGCTTCATACACACGGTGCCTTGGGACCAGCTCTTCCGGAATCCCCACCAGGCCCTACTCCATAGTGGCAACCGGCCAGAGGAGGCATGTGGTAAGACAGGGAGCCCAACACAGTGGGCTGGTGCATGGGAGTGTTCACAACCCCTGGCAGCAGCCTCATGGGGGCTGTACAGACTGCCTGTCTTGAGTCCTGTTCTTGAATTGGCTCTGGATGGCTTGGCCTTGTGGCATGACTTTCAGCTGGGCTCCTCTAGGCTCCCTTGGCATCTATCCCTTCCTTGTTTCTAGAATAGAAATCTTCCTCTCCCTACTGTCCCAGCACCAGTCCTTACTCTTCCAGCCCAGATCCATGCTCATGGCCTGTCCACCTAGACCTAAGGCCTCTCCTAACTTTTTCCTCTGGTCAATTTCACTGCAGCTCAAGAGGGCCTAGCCTGCTACCCACTGTGTGCCCAGGGGCACTGCTGGGGCCCAGGGCCCACCCAGTGCGTCAACTGCAGCCAATTCCTTCGGGGCCAAGAGTGTGTGGAGGAATGCCGAGTGCTGCAGGGGTATGAGGGCTAGAGGACTGGGTGGCCAGAGGGGTGCCTACTGCACCTCCCAGACTACTCAGCACCCACTTCTCTTATAGGCTCCCTAGGGAGTATGTGAATGACAGGCACTGTCTGCCATGCCACCCCGAGTGTCAGCCCCAGAATGGCTCAAAGACCTGCTTTGGATCGGTGAGATGCTTGTGGTTTCAAGGCTTTGGGGAGGGGCAAGCAGAAGGGAGATGCCAAGAGCCCTTTGGATTTCTGCAGCGTGGGCCAAACCTGGTAAAATGTTCCCAGAGAGGATTTTAGCTTAGATCTGGATAGCAGGAGGGTGGAGATCAGGGAGGCTGAGACGGCAGACTGCCCACATCATGCCATGGACCCTGGGCTACCTCTTCATGCTGTTACACTAGGACCTTTCTGACTGACAAGGTCCCAAGAAGGTCTGTGTTCTTGGCTGTGGCTATGCTAAGGACCAAATCCAGACCCTGCTTCCAACCTTTGTTTTTACATCTATAAGGTGAATGTTGTAATAGTTCTTACCTGGTTGAGGTGTGGTGAGAACAAAATTAAATAGGATTTGGCACAGTGCCCAAGCATGGAGAAAAACTTTGTACATAATAATTGGTGTCGTCACTGGCTATTACACCTTAGCTAACGCACGTCCTCTGGGTGCCTCATTTTCTTGTGAAGAGCAGGGGTGTTTTCCCCGGGGACAGGGAGACAGTGCTGCTGAGTGGTCAGGGGCATAAGGACCTGATCTTCCTGCTTTTGGGATGTTGGCCCAAATTCCCACAAACCTTTTCTCCCCACCCAGGAGGCTGACCAGTGTGTGGCCTGTGCCCACTATAAGGATCCACCCTTCTGTGTGGCTCGCTGCCCCAGTGGTGTAAAACCAGATCTCTCCTACATGCCCATCTGGAAGTTCCCGGATGAGGAGGGCACATGCCAGCCATGCCCCATCAACTGCACCCACTCGTGAGTGGAAGGAGTCTTTTCTGTAGAAAGGAAGGCTTTCAGGGCAGGATCTTCTCTGGAGATATTATTGTGAAAATGAAAGGGGGACAAGTCCACCTTCACTTATCCCAAGATCTATTTTTTTAAAGATTTTTATTTATTTACGTGTGTGTGTGTTTATGTGAATGTATGCCACATGTGTGTGGGTGCCTGTGGAGGCAATAAGAAGGTGTTGGATCCCCTAGAGCTGGAATTCCAAGCAGTTGTGAGCCACCAGACATGGATGTTGGGAACCAAACTTCAGTCCTCTGGAAGAACAGGAAGTCCTCTTAACTGCTGAGCCACTGAGATACAACTTTTATGTCACTTTTTATATCATTTTGATATCTTTTCTAATCATAAAAATAACATATTAGCCGGGCGTGGTGGCACACGTCTTTAGTCCCAGCACTCGGGAGACAGAGGCAGGAGGATCTCTGTGAGTTCAAAAACAAAATAACATATTACAGGCATCTGAAATGGCTCAGCAGGTAAAGGTATTTGCTGCCACATGGGATCCACATGATGGAAGGAGAGAACTCATCCCCATAGGTTGTTCTCTGACATGTACCTACACATGTGCACCGTAGCACATACACACACAAGTAAATTTAGTTAAAAATTGTAATAACACATTATTTTTTAATATTTTATGCATATGAGTGTATTGCCTGCATGTATATGAATGCAACCGTGTTGTGCAATGCCACGGAGGTCAGAAGAGGCCTTTGGATTCCCCTGAAACTGTAGTTAAGGACGGTTCGTAGCTGGCATGTGGGTGCTGGGAATCGAACCTGGATCCTCTGCAAGAACAGTCAGTGCTCTTAACCGCTGAGCCATCTCTCCAGCCCCTAACACATTTTTTTTGTCTTTTTGAGACAGGGTCTCCCTGTAGCCCCAGCTGTCCTGGAACTCACTATGTAGACCAGGCTGGCCTTGAACTCACAGAGATCCGCCTACCTCTGCCCCCCCACCCCGAGTGCTGGGATTAAAGGCATACGCCACCACGCCCAGCTACACATTATATTTTTTTAAATTAACACATGGGATAGAAAAGAAAGCTGCTGGCAGTTGTATTGTGAATAATTTGGGCTAGTTTCTCTCCCCTTTTTTCATTCTGAGTGCTGGAAATTGAACCTGGGGCCTTGTGCTGGCGCGTTCCTCCCCAAGCCACATTCCCAGCACATTTATCTGCATGTTCTAACATATGCTGCATTTTACTGAAATGGATTATAGTCCTGTACATGTTATTCTCAAATTGCTCCCTGCCCCCAGCCCCCAGGCTTGGAATATTTCTCCCACATCCCAAATGCACATTTCGCTTGAGCCTTCTCCTCCAGGCTCCCTGCCTGAGGAGAAACCTCAGGCTGGCTGCTGTATGTGAGATCTCCCAGGCCTTCTGGCACATTCATGTGCTGGTCCCCACTGCCATGAGTCAGATAAGATTGCTGTTTGTGTCAGTCAAAAAAGGTCACCAAAGAGCACTTTCATCTGGTTCAGCTTATCAGATTTGTGTTTTTCTGTGTGCATTTCTTTTTTCTTAATTAAAACCCCCCTCACATTTATTTAATTTGTGTGTATGTATGTATGTGTGTATGTGAGTGGGCATGTGTGAAAGTCAGAGGACAACTTGAAGGAGTCAATTTTCTCCTTCCACCATGTGGGTCTGGAGGATTGAACTCAAGTTGTCAGGCTTGGCAGCAAGCATCTTTCCCCACTGAGACATCTTTCCAGTTACCAGTGTGTGTGCATTTCTTAATGGAGATGGGGCCTTCTTCTGCATGTTCTGTATTTTGCTTTCCCCCCTACATTCTGCATCTAGGTCTACCTCCTCTTTAAAACCTTCTTAGTTCATAGCATGTTATTTAGCACTGTCTGTATTTGAGGGTTTTTATTCTTGCTTGCCTCTTCCTCTACCTCCTTCTCTCTCCCTTCTCTTCCATCTCCTTTTCCTCCTCTTATTCCTCCTCCTTCACTTCTTCCTCCTCCTTCTTCTAGTTTGTTGCCATTCAGCTCCACATACAAAGTATGTGCATGCCTTCTTGTGACCTGGTGTTGGTATCTTTAGGGTATGTACTCAGGTGGAACTGCTGGTATTTTATTGATTGGTTGATGCTGGAGATGGAACCAGGACCTCATACATGCTCTCTCATTAAGCTACAGCCCAGCTGCACGTTTTTTAATAGGTCTTGCCAAACTCTCCTGAGAAGTGCCAGTATACCCTGGTACTCTTTCATGGAGGGAATAGCTGAACTTCTAGTCTTGATGGGTATCCCCCTTCCTGCCCAGCACAGGAAGATGCAGGAATGCAGGAGTGGGGGTTCCCAGACTGAAGACAGAATCTTCTAGTGACCTGACAGCAAGAAAATTGGTGATCTTGAGCCCAGTTTCTGCTTGTCACAATGGGATAATAACAATAATAATGCAGCCACACCTGCCCCAGGAGGTTGTTCCCAGGGTTGTTGATGGGACTCTCTTCCACAGCTGCATTGACCTGGATGACAGGGGCTGCCCAGCAGAACAGAGAGCCAGGTGAGCCTGAGCCCCAGAAGTGCCTGATTTACCCCTTATTCCTTCACTGACCCCTAGTTGGTCATTGACACAGAGACGGGTCACCTAACATGCCGCATGTGCCTCCCCAACCCATTCTTCCACTGTTGACCCTCCCCCCCTTTCAATTTGCTTCAATGAGTAGATAAGGACCTGCTCAGGATGCTAGCTGGGGTAAGGGAATTGCTGGGAAAAGTGGTCAGTATACCAAGAGCCTCCCACCATGGAGTAGTTTGATGTCTCTTGAGGGACACAAACCAGGTTCAAGTCCCTGGAACTGGAGGTGGACCAAGCAGAGTGCAGTGGCAGCATGCAGGGGCTCTGAGTGTTCTAGCTGGATGGCAGGAGACTCCCAGGAGGGGCCACTGGACTTCCCTTTCACTCAGGTATAAAGCCCCAGGAGGGTCGTTAAACAAGCCTAGGGTAGCCAAGAGCTCTGGTGTGTGCTGTGAGCCCGTAGAGAGCACCGAATCTGTGAAAGCAGGGGCAGTGAGGGCCAGATCTGGAGGGTAAAGGCCTTGACCACCAGACCGTAGGACTCAGTAGTTTAACAGAAGGGAGTTTTGGAAAAGAGAAAACCAAATTGCAGTATGTCCTGAAGAACTACTCTGTGTTCACGAAGCAAACATTCAGTAGAGGTTTGTTGTATGCCAGGCTCTGTGCTGAGCAAGGCAGTGGGGGTAGGGGGACAAGAATGTTCAGTGGCTGGGATTGGTACCACATACCTGTAACCCTGGCACTTGGGAGGCTGAGGCAGGTAGATTGTGAGTGCAAGGCCAGCCTGGGCTACATAATGAGACACTGTCTCAAAAATAGTAGAGCTAGGTGTAGTGGCACAGGTTAAGAGCACTAGCTGTTCTTGCAGAACACCCAGGTTCAAATCCCAGCACCCACATGGCAGCTAATAACTGTCCGTAACTCCAGTTCCAGGGGATCTGATGCTCACTTCTGACCTTCACGGGTGTTGCATGACATGCACTTACATGCAGACAATCATGCAAACACATAAAATAAAAATAATTTTAAAAAAGTAAATAAATGCCTGGTGAATATCCAGGGGCTCTGTGTACCCCAGGATGCGCATGAGTCTTCAAAGATGACACAAGAAATGGCTATCCTGTTAGCAGGAACCTCAAAGTGCAAAAGCTGGGAGGCTCCTGGAAGAGAACTTTGTCTAGCCCTCAGAATCATGGGATACACATTCCTGGGCCCCACTCTCTGCAGCTGTCAGAATCTCTGGGTAGGGGTTCTGGTGCAGATTGAAAAGCTCTTTGGTGAGTTTTATGCCATGAGTGTTTTGGGCTGAGGTGAGAGCACAGAGGAGGTGGTGATGCGGATGTCTGGTGGGGAATTTGGACATTACTGTGGAGGCAGGAGGGAGTCCAGGCAGGTTTTAGAGTAGGGAAGGGTCACAGCCTGTAGGTCACCCTTCGGCATCCCCTTCAAATGCTTGGGACCTTTTTGCTTTCCCATGGGTTCTCCTTGACACCCCTCCCCCCCACTGGTCCGCAGTCTCTGATTCTGGCCCCTGTTCCCAGCCCAGTGACATCCAGCATCGTTGCTGTGGTGAGCATCCTGTTGTTCCTGGTCATGGTGGTGGTCCCTGGGATCCTAATCAAGCGAAGGCGCCAGAAAATCCGAAAGTACACAATGCGCAGGCTGCTGCAGGAAACTGAGGTGAGGTGGGATGAGGGGCTCTCCACCTGCCTGGGTCTGCAACTCACCAGGCACTCACCCGGCCACTCCCTCACTGCAGCTGGTGGAGCCCCTAACACCCAGCGGAGCCATGCCCAACCAGGCTCAGATGCGGATCTTGAAAGAGACAGAGCTCAGGAAGGTGAAGGTCCTTGGATCTGGAGCTTTCGGCACTGTCTACAAGGTCAGGGGCCTGCCTGGTGGATCTGGAGGGTGGGACAGGGCCTGGAGGGGTGTGGTCAAGAGTTCCAATTGCCCCTGTTAGGGAGAGGGAGGGGGCTAAGCCTGAGGCTGGATAAGGCTACTCCACAGTGGCTTCAGGGGGAAGAGCTGATGTGGTCCACACATCTCAATTCAAGTCCTCTTCTTTCTGCTCAGGGCATCTGGATCCCGGATGGGGAGAATGTAAAAATCCCTGTGGCCATCAAGGTGTTGAGGGAAAACACATCCCCCAAAGCTAACAAAGAAATCTTGGACGTAAGCCCCCTCCTCCCTTGGGAATCAAGAAGAACCTTTGGGCTTCTCTTCATTAGTGATTGGGGAGATGGGAACCCCTAAACTCAGTCTGCAGGCCCTGGCTGTAGTTGGTGAGGGAGAAGTGTGAGAGATGGGTGGGGTGAGGGTCTCTAGGAGGGAGTCTGGTGGGTGGGAGTTTGTGGTTTCCTGTATTTTTCTGTGTACCCTTACCTGCAGGAAGCATATGTGATGGCTGGTGTGGGTTCTCCATATGTGTCCCGCCTCCTGGGCATCTGCCTGACATCCACAGTGCAGCTGGTAACACAGCTTATGCCCTATGGCTGCCTCCTGGACCATGTCCGAGAACACCGAGGGCGCTTGGGCTCCCAGGACCTGCTCAATTGGTGTGTTCAGATTGCCAAGGTATGTGTGTTTGGGGGTTCCTGGCTCTGCGGGTTGTTGGGAGCCATGATGGGATGTTTTCTGGGAGTGTGGCCAGGGCAAGGTCCAGACCCAAGTCCACACTGGTGCTCCTTTTCCCAGGGGATGAGCTACCTGGAGGATGTGCGGCTTGTGCACAGGGACCTGGCTGCCCGGAATGTACTGGTCAAGAGTCCCAACCATGTCAAGATTACAGACTTTGGGCTGGCTCGGTTACTGGACATTGATGAGACAGAGTACCACGCAGATGGGGGCAAGGTCAGAGGAGGGAGCAGTGCAACGGGGTGGCGTGGTGTCTGAGCTTTGGGAGAACTTTTAGAAGGGCTACCTCCCTACCACACCCAGTCAGAGGACTTTCTCCTCTGCATTCCTAGGTGCCCATCAAATGGATGGCGTTGGAGTCCATTCTCCGCCGGCGGTTCACTCATCAGAGTGATGTGTGGAGCTATGGTGTGTGGAGGGGGTGTTGGGGAGGGCTGAATGGGTAACCATGGGGCAGTGGGGATGGGGGAAGGAGAGCTGTCTCTGTCTATCCTGTGGGGGTCTATGCCCATCCAGAGAGGAAACACTGGGTAAATCCCATCTCTTGGCACCATATACTCTGCCACAGTGCCAGACACCTGGGCACACCTTGCTCCCCCCCACCCACCCCCGACTCCTGATATCTATCTGTCCTTAGGTGTGACTGTGTGGGAGTTGATGACTTTTGGAGCCAAACCTTATGATGGCATCCCAGCCCGGGAGATCCCTGACTTGCTGGAGAAGGGGGAGCGGCTGCCTCAGCCTCCAATCTGCACCATAGATGTCTACATGATCATGGTCAAATGTGCGTGCTGGGACTGAGGTGGGGAGAGGTAGCTGTGGACAAAGGGTGGGAGAGCCTCTGTGTGAGGACTTATGGGCTGGAGGGTTGGGGTGGTGAAGAGCAGGATGTTAACAGAGTCAGAGGCCTAGAAGGAGCCTCAAAAGTGGCTCCTGTCCTATTCACAGAAGTCCCAAGTTGCTTTAGAACAGCTATCGAGGGACTAGAAGCAAATTTTAAAAGGGGAGAGATGCTCCAGTATTCTAGGTTAAGACCCCAGAGTCTGGTTATGTTTCTCTATAATGTGAGGACTTTGGGCTTCAGTGCCAGAGTTGTCTAGGCCAGACTGGAAGAGCTGGAGGGGACAGGCAGCCATTCCCCAGGTTGGCCCTGGGATGAGGATCCTGAGCTCCCTCCTACCTCAGGTTGGATGATTGATTCTGAATGTCGGCCGAGATTCCGGGAGTTGGTGTCAGAATTCTCCCGCATGGCCAGGGACCCCCAGCGCTTTGTGGTCATCCAGGTATTGGGCCTTCCCACCCCATCACTGCCTCTAAGAGCACCCCCTCCCTCCTGCAGAGATGGGGAAAAGGAAGGGACGCCTGGGTGCTAAGTCCCTAAGCCCAGCCCCCACCTCTGGCTCAAGCTTGGGACTTCATGGGGAACTGAACCCTGGCCTGGGGAAGGGCTGCTGCCACCTGTGTCTCCTTCCTCCCCAGAATGAAGACTTGGGCCCAGCCAGCCCCTTAGACAGTACCTTCTATCGCTCACTGTTGGAGGATGATGACATGGGTGACCTGGTAGATGCTGAGGAGTATCTGGTACCTCAGCAGGGATTTTTCTGCCCTGACCCCGCCCCAGGCACCGGGAGCACTGCCCACCGTAGGCACCGAAGCTCATCCGCCAGGGTCAGTGCCCTCTGCCATACCAGTGCCTGTTTGCTAACCTCCCTCCCCATTAATCTGGGTGCTCCCCTACATTCACCTCTCCTGAAGGTTCCATTACCCTGAAGAAGACTCTTACTGCTTTCTAATCCATGGAATCCCATTCTGTCTACCATGATTGTCATACTGCAAAGGTGACCTGTGTTTTTCTCATGGGACCCTGTGACCTCTCTAAAGCTCTTCCTCCTGGACTATGAGTAACTCCCATCATAATTCTCTTTTATCCCAGAGTGGAGGTGGTGAGCTGACACTGGGGCTGGAGCCCTCTGAAGAGGAGCCCCCCAGGTCTCCACTAGCCCCCTCAGAAGGGGCTGGCTCCGATGTGTTTGATGGTGACCTAGGAATGGGGGCAGCCAAGGGGCTGCAGAGCCTCCCCCAACACGACCTCAGCCCTCTACAGCGGTACAGTGAGGACCCCACAGTACCTCTGCCCCTCGAGACTGATGGCTATGTTGCCCCTCTGACCTGCAGCCCCCAGCCCGGTATAGAATCCAGGCCTAAACTGAGAGAGCCTGGGAGGAGAGGAATTGGGGATTTTCAGACCAAGCCCACTGAGGGGCAGTGGTTCTGACAGGGATATCCAGGTTCCTTTCCCTAACAAATCCTCTCCTTGCACCTTTGCAGAATATGTGAACCAGCCAGAGGTTCGACCAGAGCTTGTCTCACCCTTGGAGGGTCCTCTGCCTCTCATCCGGCCTGCTGGTGCTACTCTGGAAAGGCCCAAGACTCTCTCTCCTGGGAAGAATGGGGTTGTTAAAGACGTTTTTGCTTTTGGGGGTGCTGTGGAGAATCCTGAGTACTTGGCACCCAGAGGAGGCACTACCCCTCAGCCCTACACTCCTCCTGCCTTTAGCCCAGCCTTTGACAATCTCTATTACTGGGACCAGGACCCATCAGAGCGGGGATCTCCACCAAGCACCTTCGAAGAGACTCCTACAGCAGAGAACCCCGAGTACCTGGGCCTGGACGTGCCAGTGTGAGGTCAAGTCTGCTGAGGCCCCACTGTGCCTTCAGAGTAGGAAAGACCAGACTTGTGGCTCCCACCACCACAAAGCAGGATCCCTCTGATCACATGGAGGGCAGCCTGTAGTGCCAGGAACTTGCCCTAAGAAACCTTCCAGGCTGCTCAAATCCTGAAGTGGTTGAGGGGCCTGGCATGGCTGGCTAGAAGAGGCAGCACACCGGACAGTGTCAGTGGATCATAGAACCCTGCCCTGCCAAACTATGAGGCTCTATGGATGTCACAGCCTTATCTCTTCACCTAAGGCTGTCACCTGGCTCTCATTTCCAACTCGTTTTAAAGGACTGAGGGAAGCTCAGCCTAAAAGGATAGAGGCCCCAAGGGAATATCTTGAGAACGAGATAGCCCATTGGGAAACTTGTCTCTGAGACACTGCATCCCAGGAGGAGAGGAGCAGCATTAGCATCCTGACCAATCCTTGTACAGAGTGTTACTTTGTTTTGTTTTTACTTGTTTTTTTAAAACATGAAATAAGGAAGCTGAAGGAGAGTGGGTGTTGTTTGGAAGCTGGGGTGTGTGGTGGGGGGGTGAACACTCCACACATACTTTCTCCATTTGCAGATAGATTTGGAAAATAGCTGGGCCCCAGCCTATGTCTGGGAGTGGCTCTGGGCCATACCTTACTGTTTATGTTACCTACAGCTCTTCTCCAAGTGAGTGGGTAGGGATCTTCCAAAAGTTTGAATGAGAAGCCCAGCCTGAGGTTCTCTGGCTTTGGGTTGAGGAGACTGGGAAGTTCAGATTCCGATCTGAGGCCCTTTGACAACAGGATCATTCTTGCTTGGACAAACTGATTCCAAGGCCACCCACCAAAATGGGGTCATTTCCTCCCTGTGAAGAAGTGGAGTTGGGGGATGGGGAGAAGAGGCATTATGTGACTCATTTGCCTTGTCTTGGTAGAGAGAGGAACATCTGTCCAGGAAAAGCCCACTCACCGGGTGGTCAAAGGGCCAGAATGACCTCTGTTTCCCTGATTCCAGGCTGGACACAGGCACACAGACACACACCAGTTAGCACAAGTACTTGTAATGCCTCTTTATTGCCTATAGCTGACACTGCCCAGGGCTGGAGGGAAATAACTTACATCAACTATGGCATCTGACAGGTATTGCCAAGCTTGGGAGAGGACCAAGCTGTGGAGGGCACTGATTCTGGAAAGGGGTATAAGGTAGTGGTGGAAATGTCCCTGGAGAACATCTCTTTCTTGCCTCCAAGACCATAAAAACCTCTATTCTCTCCTTATGCCCAATGGAGCATAAGTGAGGGGCAAAAGGCAGGGGGAGTTCCCAGCAAACCATGAGGAAACAGGTTTCAATGCCAGAACCACACAGGAGCCAAGAATCACGTGCAGTCACAGGATGACACAGGGAGGACGGCTGTTGGTGATCTTTTCTAGGGGTTCTCCTTTACTGGCTCTTCGAATGGCCTCAATGAGCTGGAGGGTAGAGGTGTGGAACAAGGTGATGCACTGGGGAGGATGGTGTGTTCTAGGGGTTCCCCCAATGCTGCAAATACTCACGTCTTTCTCATAAGGAAAGCCTCCATTTTCCAGCTTGGAGAACACCAGCTGTCCATTGATCTCGATCTCAAAGGCCCCTAGAATGAAATCAACCAAAGAATGAGTGGTATGCTGAGAATAGCCAGGAGTCAAGGGAGGCTCTCTCCACTCCTGAGACTCCACGAAAACTCATGGCCCCCACCAACACTATGAGACCCTGTTTATAGATCCTTAAGCCATTTAACCCAGGAACCTAAGGCAGGCCTCACCTTTGTGTTGCTCCATACCCCCTGAAAGGCCCCCTTCTCTCCAAACCCACACTATTACATTAGTAGAAGTTTCTTCCATAGACTCACCTGTGGGCCCCTCCTACAGAAGGCGGCTGGTGCTGGCTGGACATTTTCACTATTATGCCAGACACTGCTGGGGACTTTATATACAGCAGCCAGTGTCAGCGCTAGAAAGTGGGAGAGCAGGGATTTACAATACAGACTGACTCAGCAGGTGTTCTGCGGACCTCACCTGTCCCCCCAAGTCGCGACTCAATCTCGATGCCCGGATACTCCTCCTTCACAGCGCTCGCCAGCTCCAGGTAGGTTGCCTCGAAGCCGCAGGGTTCACTGGGGAGAAGAGATGGAGGGTGGGCTGGGGTTCCGGGGGAGGGGCCTCCCGTGGGCCCCCCCCCCCCCCCCGGGCTGGCCCGGCGAACCGACCCGATCCCCCTCCCCC